CGCGAGCGGCTCACATCAGCCGTATCCAGGTACGAGAGATTAGAGTCCAGCGGTAAATTGAGCATTCACAACCAGTCATTCATGAATGACTTGTAACTAAGAATCATTTTCAAATGCCAATAGGAGATTGTACCAAATCGGCTCATTGCATTAACGTCCTGACCTGACATCCATTGAATGAATCCTCTATCAGTGTCAGTATCCGTACTGCGTACCACTTACACGTGGTGATGATCCCCGTCGCTTCAGACCTAAACCCTTGACCTAACCCTTGACCCTACTCCTTTTTGGTTTAACGTCCCAACTGAAGCCAAGGTGAGGAGCCCTGATCTGATCAGATAACGCTGTTTCTTCGGTCAACTGATCGCTGGACTGGACTGGGCTGATGTTTCAATAGCCCGGCCCGGACATGGTTTTTGTGTCTCTTGTTGTCAGGCAAAAGCTCGTTAGACAGGAGTTCTTATTCGGCAATGGCTGATTCCAGGGCGATCCAAGGGAAAAAAAGTTTAAGACCCCTTCTTTTCCAACTTTTTTTTTTTTTTGTTGTCTGAAAGCAATGACAGTCATTTGCCAGAACCACAAATTCCATGTAACCTCAAAACTTATTTCTTTGAATGCGCAGGACCGTATTACTATTACTTTATATTAAAACCTCGCAGAGAACATTCTCGCATTTCTAGTACGAGATATCGTCTCCATGCTCATCATCAGTCACTGGATTGCGTTTCCCCGAAATGGACATGGGGCGTGTCTATAACAAGCGCCCAGAAGGTTTAGCTGCATATCCTTTTCATGGGCGTCTCGTCAGCTACGCCCACTACACTGTGGCGCTGTCATCTTGAGTCTGAACTCGGTGGGAACAGTAAAAGGAGATGCCCTGAATTTAGCTGCCACCGCAATCTTTAGCCTCTGGAGCGCAACTAAGGCGCAGCGCGGAGGCTCCAGGCATCACTAATTAGTAGAGGGGAGAGCTGAAAAGGGAACCGTGCTCAGCAGGGTAAAAGAAGTCGGTCGGCTTACTGCTCAGTTGAAAGTTGGTATGGTCTCTTTGACGACACGCAATGCACTGTGCCTCTTGAAGAAAGAAGCCAGATTAACCAGATTCTCACGTAATAAGGGAAGAGGCAGAGAGGCAAAAGGGATGCGGGTGTGTATATGCCAACGTAACAAACAATCCGAGCGATGGATGATGATACCTCAGAGGGAGGAGAAGCTGTTGCAGCGTCCCAATGGTCAATGTTTTGCGGCAATTAGCTGCACGTAACGTCGAATCCTAGAGCTCTCTTTTGTCGCAGTTGCATTTGGCATTCGCTGTTCGATAGGATAGGTTCGTGATATTCAGCCAGGATTGTAGAGATACTGTACAGTACACTTTGTTTGTTACCCCTCAAATGGCTAAGATCATCCCGTCTCTGTTCTAAACCTGTCCTGGATGATTGACCGGTCTCACCTGACAAGCCTACCGATTGCTGGTCACAAGGACCATCAGGAGGAGGCATCACATCGCGGGGAAGAAACCTTGACATGTCTATTCCTGTTGTGCGCATACATAAGTATTGGATGTAAGTACACATCCAGTACGTACTGTGCTGGTGATAGGTAGTTATGGAAAGGTGTAACATCAAATGTTGGACTGCCGGGTTTCTTAGTCCAGCCTATCGAGATCTCTCTTGTTTCTGTAATTGTTTATTGAATTTTGCAAGACAAGAATTGGAATGTTGACTCGATCAAAAGCAAACCAAGGCACAAAATCCATTTTTAGCACTCATGATTTACAACATGTTCCTGACTATCCTCCGAGACCACTACTCTCTTGAGATAGGGCTTCGACGATCAATTTGAATCCCAGCTCACGTCGGAAAAAAACTGCCAATGAAGCTATGCCCTTCAATGCCAATTTTTTGGCAGCGATTGGGCTTTGACACATGGAGCTAATGATCTGGAACATTGATTGGAATGGTCACATTATTCCTCAGTGGCTCTGTACAGTGTCTTTCTTACACAAACAATGCCGAAGTCTAGTAGCTTTGACAATTGGTAACAAGATTTCAACTTTTTTTTTCTTATTTCAAGTTTGTGATACAATGACGCCATCAGATGCTTTCCCCTTACCATGGAACCCTTGTCGAGGCCGTCATGCCGTGGATTCTTGACCATTTCTTCTCAAGTCGATTGCTCATTGACTTTTTAATTTTTTTTTTTTTTGGCATATGATGTAACTCTAACATGAAAGCGAACAACCAACAGAATACGTTAAAATAAAAACATGCTCAAATTGGTGTGGGAAAAATATGGATTCCCTATAGCAAAGACTCCATCAGAGCCTCAGAGTGGAATTCTGGGACGCATTGGGAGCTTCTGAGCTTACCTGGACAAAGCCAATCAGACTCAGCAAACATTCCTCCACAGTTTACCAATCTCGATCTTCGATCCTGTCTTGGCTAGGCAAAGGATTCAAGAGAAAAACTCCCTCACTGCCGTGCGAGTATGCCGGTTATTGGCCAACTCTGAGACATTGGCACGAGGGCGTCGAGAATGCCTGCTGTACAGTACAGTGCATTGCATCTGAGTGCATTGTAGCGCAACAATGGCCTGAGTCCAGTGCTCCCTCTCGTCCTGGTTGTCTGTTCTGCAATGCAAATCACTGGCCAGCTGCCTGCACTATGGCGATCCGGGGTGCTTGATAAGGCACAAGCACCAGCACCAGCACCAAACAAAGACCGGTCCTCCCAAGACCCGCTGCCCGGTTCACAGGCTTTTCCCTATTGGAGTATGGTATCACTCAAGAGGCTTAGCCGGCTTCATGACAGCTGGGACCCGGGTGGATTTGTGATACGCCAGAAACACGCAGTTCAGTCCAGTTCACCAACCCAACAATAACCTCTTCCCCGGGGCAGAAGACCTAACACTAATCCAAAAGGGTTCGATGCAGATGGAATGTTCGGTCACGACCCTTGGTCTACAGGGCAACATTGAGCGTGTTGAAAGTGGATGATACAAAGTTATTCATGGATGGTATAATATGGATGAGCTGCAACGGCCTAAACGACCCAGAATACCATCCTATTCGGACCTTTGAATCCACTCCTATGTAAGGGAACTCAGCGTACTGAGTGCTGCACGGTACGGTACGGCGGTCACAGACAACAGACAGCCGATTCGTACAGCACATACCGTACCGCGGCTTAACTCGTACCACCGGCACTTAGAATATGATGCCGCCTATTGCTGTCGGTTCAGAGCGGCAGTGAAGCCCGAAGCTCCGTCTCCGTGAGAACCTATTTGCTGTCCTGTACTGTCGCCGAGGCTTCCCCCGCCTTCACTGGAGTTACCTACTGTTACCCCTCTATCACGACGCGGCCGCTGATATGGATATGGTTGAGCGGGACTCGCACATATAGCGTCGACAATACACACAGGGGTGTGCGTGCTTTAGCACTTGCATCACAGCAGGGATTCTAATGAGAATGTGGATATTCCTCTCAGTATCCGTCTTGATAAGAATGGGGAAATTCATGCCTCAGTCTAATACTGGAACACTGACAAAGAGTGTTTGAAGGATGCCTGGACGATGCTACTTGACATGTTACAAGAATCAAGGGCAACGTAAGCATGTTGGGCGTTATTATATAATGTTCCTGAGCTGTTCCTGCATGACATGGAAGCTCCGTCCACGTGGTATCATATCATTGTGTTTTGGAATCTCCCTCACATTCGGCCCAACACGAAGACATGACAAGGATTCCCATCACTGTGATCAACCATTATCTGCTACAGACGTTCCCAATGCCATGGTCTAGTCTGCCAGCTCCCGTAGATCAGCAATGCTTATCGGGCTCGGCCAGTTTAGAACATGGGACGAAGGAATGTTGGGAGGGGACCCTGCCTCAGCGACGAGCCCTACGATGAGCCCTACGACGGGTACCCGAATTCCTTGGTTCCTTGATTCTTATTCCAGAAACGTGATAACCTTTTTTTACTAATTAAGCTCTGTGGCTTGACTATTGTCGAAGTTGTTGATGAAGCTTGACTGTCGACTGGATACTATGGATATGACCACGTATTGCCCTGAAATGCAAATTCAGGTAAGTCATGGCGTGCTAATCTGAAGATATGAGCTCAAAAAGGTTATTATTTGCAATTCACCGTAAGTTTCGTCAACAAGTAAGGTCTATGGCCTGTAGTTTCGCAAGTCTAGTCACAAATTGGTGACGAACAGTCATTGCCGATATCGGAGCCCTAGCTTCGAACTGTAAGAGCACCTTTTTGTCTTGTGGAAGCGTGAGGGTATTGTAAGACGCTTCTGCACTTCAGTGAATGACCTACAGAGGATTTTGGTCTTTAACTATATTGTATTTCTGGCCGGCAACAGCGAAGGTCCATCTTCTGTGGCAGAAGCCTTCATACCTGGTATCTGCCGTGTTCCTGAAGAGACGCCGATCATGACATCAACTCGCTCATAAGCCACAGCAACGAAATCAGAGGCTTTTCCAGAGACATCTCGTGTTAATCAGCAAAGATAACCATACCCTGAAAACAAATAACTATTATAATTTCTTGTTTTCTGCCTGTATTTAAAGCAAAGTCACACACAGGAGACGGAACATAGCCGCGCCGCAAGATCTACAGCCTAGCTCATGTACCCCAGATTAATTAAAACAACGTTAGTTTCGATTCCCGGCGGGCGCTGGAGCCTTTCCCATGTCCAAATGCGTTGACACACGGAAAAGAGAGTCAAGATAGCGAGATGCGTAACACTTCTGAGGCCACTTGTAACAGAACTGTACCTTACAAGGCCACCCCCCACGCTGGCCAGTGGCGTAGTGACGACTGTATTTTAATAATTTGTGAGACTTAAAGAGTGAGGGAAATACTTTTCTCTATGCTTTTTCTTTTTCTTTTGGAGACTAAAAGCCAAATCTGCTGTTACTGCGACGACATAGTTTCCGAGTAATCGACGCGCATATCTAAGCCTCACACACTATAAACAACATCACGAAATGCCTGATCAGGACGTATATCGCAAAGTCGGCCGAGGCGGTGCTGGTAATTTTGTATCAAGCAAACCTGAAGATGCCGCCAACGTAAGCTGACCTTGCTCAATCATCTGCTCAGTCCCTCACACTCTCAGGCCGATCTTGAAGCACAGAACCTAGCCACAGAAGAAGTCCAGCCCTCCGTCAACGGCCCATCACGAGCTGGCCGTGGTGGCTTCGGCAATTACGTCAATCCAGAGGAACTACCAGATGCCAAAGAGCAAGACGAGATGGCTCAGAAGACAGCGGCTGCTGTGAATGTAAGCCTCAAGAAGAATCACGTCGCGAGGGGAGGACTTGGTGGCAGAGGTGGAGCCGGAAACTGGAAGCATGCTATTTCATTTGAAGAAGAGGAGAGGATGAGAGAAGAAGAAAAATTGAGAGGTGAGCAATTGGCCAAGAAGGTGAAGGACGAGGTTGATCAGGGTCTAAGAATGCCCGAAAAGGCCCATCACGGACATCATGTTAAGCATAACGAACAATGAGGCTTTACAATGGCAGCGGGATGTTCGGGGTTCGGGTCAGAAGGCTTAGAGCTATATGGGTTCATTTTACTAGTTAATTTCTTGATTAATATCTTGCGTCTTTCATATCGTTCTAGTCATGTCCACAGCTCTCCGCTTGATAGAACTGATGCTTCATCTCGTTTCACTGAACCTTCCCGAGGTTCGTGAGTCTGAGGGCAAGGAAACCATTACCTTCTCAGAAGGCCTTGGGAAGCTCAACCTCTCTTGACAGCTTGAGCGCAATCGATCCGAGCTCATCCAAGCCAGTCACATCTTCTTCCAACCCAGGCATCTCGAAAAGGTCATAATCGGAATCACACTCGGCACCAGCAGGAGGCAATGTGCCCTCCTGGAAGTATTCTCGGATATAAGTGAGGGAGCATGCTGAAGGCGCCGCCAGCGAACAATGCTTTGGCTCAAGTTAGACAGAGTGACACAGAAATAGGAGGAGACTTACACCGTAGGAGTTCTGCTTGAGAACAACTGAGCTGGGGAACTTGGCAGAGTTGTTAAACGCACTCTGTAAAGGTGTCACGTTATCTGCCATATTGCCAATATATAGAATTGGATGGGCTGTATCACCCCTAAAGTCGGCTTCTCAAAGTTAGTCTCGTATCTCCTATCGTGGGTATTAGGGGTGATTCACCATCTGTAAACTCCCACTTTGGTCTTGTCTTTCTTCCCACACACGACACACGGAAATTGGAGTTGACTGCTCCCGCCCAACGACTCTTGTGCGTGATTCTGTCAAAATAGTCTGCAATCTCCTGCGGTGTTTCTGTCACAGGCTTTGAGTCCAGACACATGATAGCAGGGAAAGCGTCGAGCCCCATAGAGGTCTCGAGGGGCATAGTTGCAGGAGTTTCCCCCAGTTCGCACATATCTCCATTGAGGCTCTTGTTTTTACCCTCCATCACCATCTCGTAATAGGGGATTCCATCGCCCTTCTCTAAAGAAGCGAACACACGAGCAAGTTGAGGGAACTTCTTAAGCGGAGAATAAATGGAAGTTTGGATAAGGCGTTGAAGATGGGAATAGGTGACGAGGAGGGGTAGTTCAGGGCCGGAATCGTGAGTCCAAGCTGGAACGAGAACAGGCGACTTTTTAAGATGGGCGAGGAGATTGCTTCGACGTTCCTCAATGGCCTTTGGCGAGTCTGCATAGAAAGCGCATTTGAGGGGCCCGGATTTATGGCACGCTTTGTCGAATCCATCGAAGATCATATCTGTGTCAGAGACAAAGTTGCCGTGATCCAAGTTGAACCAGTCGTGATAGTCAACGTTTCCTGGCTCAAGTCAGTCAGAACTACCATGGCATATATATCCTAAACTCACCGTCGCTAACCAGTCTCTCAACACGCTCAGGGTATAGTCCAGCAAAGACGCCACCAAGAATAGTGCCATAGCTGAATCCCCAGTACCGTAGCTTCTCATTACCTGTCTTGTCAAGAATCTCTAGCATGTCTCGAGCGATGGATGCACTACCGAGGAACGGCATAAGACCAGTTTCCTCCATAGCCTGCTCACAAGTTCCGGAGTAGGCAGATGCTCGGGCATAGGCATCGTAGATAAGACCTGGGTGTTCGTCGGCAACGGGTGTATCTTGGAGACTCCATAACTTTCTCTTTTGAGAAGAGCCCCAGCATTCAACTCGAGGTGTAGAGACGCCGACTGCGAAGTGTTAGATGATGCAGCGGTGTTTGATAAGGACTGGTATAACTCACCTCCACGAGGATCGAAGCTGATAACGTCCTATAATTGTAAACATAAAGCTTGGCCAGAGATTCCGACTTTTTCAACTTACATGGTTGTCGCCGACAGCTGCTTGCAGGATATGTCCTTCTTTTCTTACAAAGTTAACTCCCGATCCGCCAGGTCCCTATGTCCATAAGTCAGCTCCAGAAGCTTCAGGGACAAAGATCATCATACTCCAGGATTCACAAAGAGCGGAGAAACAGGGTTGTCATTTGTCTTGGCCGGTAGCTTGATAACACCAAGGACAACTCTCTTATCATCCGAGGGCGCAAGCCAGTCCATTGGGACCTATGTCCAAGTCAGTATATACAACAGCAGGATATGGTGAATTACTAACGTCAAGTCTTGCACACTCAAAGTTCTCATAACACGGTTCCCAATGAAGTTTCCGGCTTGGCTTGACCTAATTTCTTTGTAAGTCTGCCTTTTAGATATCTTATTCGTGGTGTATGTATGCTTACATCGCTCCAAGTCCATGGCTTGTCTGCTGGATCCTCGATGTTCACTGGGTAAGGATAAGGTCGGCGGTGGAAGAATGTGATAAGACAAACAGCGGCCAAAAGGCCTAAGATGGTGGAATAATGTGACTTTCGTGGTCGTTGTTGAAGTCGTCCTCGTATGAGAGGCGTTGCCTCTATGGTCGCCTTTTCACTCATAGCAACAAGCCAGCCAAAGCACGGCCAGATCAAGGTTACTCGCTTCAGGTAAATCAAGAATACAAAACACTACTCGCAAACGCAAAAATCATAGAAGAGAAAAAGAATAGATGTAGAGATAAAATCAAGGAAAACAAAAAGGGCAGAAAAGAAGGAATTGGACCCTTGACTTGTGTCGGTCGGACACCTCCCAGTTACGAATTAAAAGCCTTTTGCCTAAGACATGCAGCGGCTCGATAAGAGATCGTCAGCCGGGCAAGCAGGCTACTAACCCAGCAAAGTAAAACATGGCCTTTCAGCCCGCCATGAGAGTCTGTCTAGGGCCTCTGCTAGGCTTCTCCTTGCAACTGCGACGCTCAGAGTTCTGCTTACGTCGTCCTATCAGACGGCAGTTTATTCCAATCACCTAATTTGGCATGGGTCATGAGATTTCATTTTGATCTTCAATGTCTTCCTAATCTAGTTCCCCGCATGTTCCGGCTCAGCAGCTGTTTTTCTCCTCAACTGTTGGTCTTAGGTAAAATAACCGTCCAATCAATCATTCCTATTCCCGTCTGAAAAGCTTCGGAACCAACAGTGTGTAGAGCGACAGCGATAAAGAACAACTTGGGCTTCTTGGGCTTGGGATACTGGAACATCAATCATTCCCGCCAAAGTCACATCGCAAATAAATTGGTGTCGGTGTGTAACTCATGACGAAGAAAAATGGCTTTTCTATAGTATCCCAACGCCGTGGTATGCCTTCGAATCAACAACACCCATAACGCCCTGTCTCGTAGACCTCTCGCTGTCTCTGCCATGTAAAACTTTTCTCTTTCAGATTCTTTCCCCCATGACTTTTCCCACTCAATCGGCATCCATATCGATATCGTCCATCTCATCATCCTCATCACCGTCCTCGTCCTCGTCGTCTTCATCGTCGAACATGCCGCTGTCGCCCTCCTCATCCTCATCCTCATCCTCATCAACCTCGAGCGCAATGGCGACCTTCTTCTTCTCGCCGCCGAAGGCCTTGGTCTTCTCACGGTCAGGCTCCATCTCCTCGATCTCCTCCTCAGTCATGCCCAGGTCGCGCAGGCGCTTCTTCTCGCTGCCGCGCATGCGGGGCAGGAGGTGCTCGTTCTCAGCGACCAGCTTGCGGGCGAGGGCAAGCTCTCGCTCACGCTTGCCAGCCATGCGCTTCTTGTAGAAGACGCGCTCACGACGTTGACGGATCTCGGACACACGCTCCATGGCCTTGAGGGTCTTGGCCATGAGGTCTCGGTCGTAGCGAACGGGAACGTTGCGGCGGGCGGCGAACTGCAGTGTTGAGTCGACAGTCATCTCCTTGCCGGCGGCCTTACGGAAAGCCTTTGTCCACTTCAGCTTGCGAGGGTTACGCTTCATCTTGAACTGTAAAACTGCATCAGCGGCGAGATCTTTGCTCGGTTGAGATTTGTAGACGTACGTTCTTGTGGCATTTGCTGCGACAGAAGCGAAAGACTCTGGCATCGTTTCGCACAAAGGTGATGCCCTTGCTGGGGTAAGCAGGGCGACTGCAAAAGTAACAGGTTTCGATTCTGAAGCATTTTGTTAGAGAAAGTTCATGGTAGAGCTTGAGTCGCTATATGACAGATGCTCGCGCTCGCAGGGAACGGACTCCAAGCATTCCACCTTTGCAAGAGCGAACATCCGATATAGAACCCTTCAGCAATAAAGACATACCTCATTTTGCCTGGGTGGTGGTCTGAAAGACCAAAACAACTTCAATTCAACGTCCACCCCACTGGTTTGAACAGCCTTCTCTTTTCCGCGGTCAGTCAAAAAACTTTTTGCTCAAACTGTCTTATCGATAACGGTTTGCACCCCGGACAAACTTTTGTCCCCGCGCCCCTCTACCTCCGGTCCGCGCCGGCTGGAAAAATCAAGTGGCCCCGATCTCGAATTCCGAATAACTCTGCGTCACTGAACTTATTGTCAATCGCAATCGCTCTACAAAATGGCTTCTGTTATGGCTATAGGTGCTGGCGCTGCCGTCGCGGCCTTTTTGGTATGTTTGCGGTGATTCCAGGCAGTGATTCCAGGCAGTGACTCCGGGTACTAACATCTCTTACAGGGCCGGGCTGGACTTGTCGCATGGAGGCGATCTCGAGGCGGCGTTGGAGCCATGGGCAAGGCCTTCTACAAGGGCGGTTTCGAGCCCAAGATGACCAAGAAGGAGGCTACTCTGATCCTGTCTCTCAAGTACGTCGTAACCCACTTCTTCTCCTACTCAACCCACTAACATCTTATAGCGAGCGAGCTGTCACCAAGGACAAGGTCCGAAAGGCTCACCGAACTCTCATGCTTCTTAACCATCCCGATCGAGGCGGCAGCCCCTACCTTGCGACCAAAGTCAACGAGGCCAAGGAGTTCCTGGACAAGAACAGTTAATTACGGTCATGAAAATTACTCCCCCAAGTCCGGTATTCGATTCACGAACCAGTCGCCGAAGCTGTTATCAGGATCATCAATGGCAGGGTCTAAGCGTGGGCGTCTTCCCGCGTGTGTATATTGTACACTACTTGTTTCCATAGCGATGGCGTTTGTTGGGTTTAGAGGAAGCTCTTTGGAGCAAGAGGAAGCTCTTTGGAGCAAGAGGAAGCTCTTTGGAGCAAGATGAAGGTATATGCCTTTGTTAAAAGCTATCAAGGCTCGACGCTGTATGAATAAAGGGTCCTAAAGACCCGTTCTCTTCTCACCCCTGTTTTTGTTCTGATGTTACTTTACATCTGTCTCGAAATATCATCTACCCTCTTTCAGGTCCCATTTCGTTCTGGGAATTGCCAACTTGCTTACCTGGAGCATTTTCCGGATGCATGTCTTCCATCACTCCGAGTTTCGAAACATCCTTCAGTCAACCTTGTTGAGCATCTTATTGCTCAACTCTTCTTCCTTCCGAAAGTCTTCCAGTGCAATACCAAGCATGGCACAAAGTGTGTAGTGCGCGTCGTTTCCTGCATTGTGCAGGTGCTTATGGGCGATATCAAGATCGTTCAGTACGGCCCCGAGACTTCGTCCATTGGTTGAACCACGCCAGGCTTGGTGAATGTCCTGAGTGTCCACCGGTTCTGCCAGCCCTCCGAGGAATCTTAGGTCTAAGCCCAATTCAGTGAAGTAGGCGATGTCCTGTTTCACATCATGTCCAACGATGACGATGTTTCGTTGGTCGTTAAGCCACGGTTGGAAAATTTCCATGATGGAGTCTGCAACTGTTGCATTTGTTGGGAATGTGCTCGCCCTATGTTACAGTTAGTAGCTTGTTGGAGTCTGAAGACGACGTCTTTACCCAAAGTCAAAATCGTCAGGGCATCCCTTGACGAACTGGTAGTTTCGCAAACCAGCAAACTCATAGACTCGAAGATGGTGAGTCTTGATTAGGGGCCACCAGCCACGGCCGACAATCTTAGGATCGACGCCTTTGGTGTCTCGTGTGTCGAGGATAGCGATACCAATTTCAGAGACGGGGTTGGGCTTTCTTTCAATGGCCTCAACATCGACGCAAATGAAAACAACGTCATAGCCGTCGGGATCTCCTAGAAGACCAAGACATCTCTGGGTGTTGCGAAGCATTCGCTCTCGGTGACTCTTCTTTCTTGCAGCCTTGTCAGGATCTGCCCTGTTTCTGGGTGGAAACCCAGACTTGACAATTCGAAACTTTGCTTTCCAGGCCAGTTGCTGTTTTGGAGTGGCTGCCTTGAAGCCTTTGATGTCATCTTGGTCAATAGCGGGCCATGGCCGAGCATCAAGAGATGTCTCTTCCTCCGATCGTTTCAAGTATCGCGGGCGTGGGGTACCATGTTCGCCGAATTTGAGGTAGAACTTTTCCAGGTTCACTCCGGGAGGGATCTTGAGTGAGGTGTCGAGCTCGAGGTTGATTTCTTCAAGGAAGACTTCGAACTGAGCTGTTGGAATCAAAAGGTAGGGGTCTCTAGCCGGCTCCTCTGGATCATGAAGATAGAAGCTTGTCAAGTTAGCACTATACATAACATTGATCAGATTGACCTACAAGTCCCAGGTTTTCTCGAAGAGGATTCTGGTGAAAAATGGCTTTGTCTGTAGAATGGTGAGCTTGCGGAGAGTTGTTAAAACAGTAATACGTACACGAGGCTTGTTGGCCTTGCCCACGAAGCGTTCAGGATACGAGACCACAACTTTGAATGGGCAGAAGTTGAAGTCCTTGGAGACCGCCTGACAGATGCGAAACTTGGAGTTATCAAATGCCTTTTCCTTCTTCTCGGCAAGTTCGAGCCGTCTGGCAGCATAAGTGTTGGCCTCTTGTTGCTGAACAGTTTGAGAGATCTGTTCTCTGGTAGCTTGTCTCTGACGCTCCATCATCTCGGCGTAGTTGTTGTCAGCTCCTTCGCCGATTGAGTTTCCTGAAGTTTCGTTGTAGTCCTCTTCTTCGTCTCTCGGTCTCTCCTCCAGCTTCACACCGTTGCCTAGAAGTTGCTGCAGTTTGGCTAGCTGGGCATCGAGAGCCGACATGTCAGATGAAAATAGAAGGAATGAAATTAAAAATCAAAGAAGAAATAGTGAGAGTTCAACTAGAGGAGCAGTGTTGAGTAATGTTGTTGTGAGATGGAAATGGTGAGATGGTGGTGCTGCTGAGTTCAAATGAAGGATGGATGTGGTGAAGGTTGAAAGACGGTGACGTTAGAAGGAAGGAGATACGAAGGGGTAAATAAAAAAAGGCAGCGAAAAACACAGTCTCAATTTTTGCGCCCAAGGCCTTATGATTCACTGCGAAAAGGTATTAAAAGTAAGGTAAGTAGAAGGTTTTATTTAGGTACCTAGTCAAACGGAAACTCGTTAGGCAAGTGGTAGATGAAATGCCACTGCTTGCACACGGCCCGTTACATGAGAAGGATAAACTTCACACCAGCCAATCAATATGTTGGTACACAAACGCCCACCCCTTTTACAAACAACTGATACATTTGCCATTACAAGACTAGACTGACTGCCTTACTTTAATTTGTAGAACTGTTCAATGTCAGTACATATTACATCGTCTGATTCAAAGAACTTACCTCATCTGCATCTTCTTGTGATACATCTGATACCTCTGACTGCTGCTTGTCAATGAGACCAAGACGACCCCATCGGACCTTAAACCAGAAGTCTCGTCTATCGCCTCCAAGTGCCCCCGAAATTAGCTGCTGCTTCATGTCTTGCATGAAAGTGTTGTACAGGCCTGGTTCTTCGAGGTTGATAAGTTCCTCCCTCATGACGCCAAGACATTCAAGAGCACGTTGATATTTGGCATCGCCGAAGCTCTCCGTAACAAACGTAGAGATGATTGCGCCCATCTGTTTTGCTGCCTCTTCGATTTGAGAAAGCTCCTCAGTTGCAGCAAGCATCTGCTTGAACTCGGGTACTGCGTTATCAGGGCTAATGTCACCCTTCTCCTCTTCACCCAGTAGAGCATCCACATCAAGACCAGAAATGGGTTTGACGGTTTCTCGGCCACGCTTTCCTTTGGCTTTGGGCGGAACTGGTGCCTTTTGTTAGCCATGGCACGCAATCACTAAAAGGACTATCACAAACCTTTCTTGACATCTGCAGCTTCAACAAGAGCATCTACCTTCCTCTGAACTGTTTCAATCAGATCTTCAGTCGGGTGAGAAAATCGCAACAAGATGGAAGGAACATCTGGAACTGGTCTGTCTGGGTGCAGTGCTCGTGATTTCACGGCATGGTTGACCCTGTGAACTGTAGGGTTGAAAGTCTCGTCAATGGAGATATATTCATCTGTTTCGCTGCGGGAGTCAGTTGCCGAAAGGTCCAAGATAGCATGGAACATACCCCTTGTCATCTAGTCCGTATGTCGACAGGTCCATTGCATCGACATAGTCGCTCATCGCATCATTCAGCTCATCCGTGGGCAATAGCCTGTGTGTTGTAAGGGTCTGGCCAGTAACCGTGATCACCTTATCCAAGGGAGGAAACTGGTAGCTTCGGATGTCTTCTGCAAATGGCAGCGGAATATCGTACAAGCATTCCATGTCTGGCTCCACGCCAGGTGCGAGCAGCACCAACAATGGGTCTTTGCCATCTTTAGTCACAATTCGGGCGATTGCATAAGACTCAAGCTCCGAGAGGGCCCATACAAGGGACGAAAGCGCCAGAGCAGATTTGGCGTCGAACTTACGCGCGACTGTTACGCAAGTCTCGCCGAGGTTAAGGAAGGGCTCGTACTGGAGACCATCAGCACTATAAAGGACAGGATATCCGGTGATAGGCGTACCTTTGAGCATGGAATGAAGCCAATGATTGAAAAGCTCTTTTGTGTATCAAGCTTGGTGATGTTGTATTCCGACTCGCTGATATGCACTGCAGTTCGGCCATATTCATAGCCCTTGGCAAGATCATCAAACTCGACGTCTCGTTTTCCTCCTGGTGCATCTGGGTCATTGACTTTGTAAGAACGAGCTTGCTTCACAGCAGAGAACTCAATTCCCTCCATATCGTCAGCGTCAACTTGCGTGGGTTCAGAATCCGGTGCACCTTCTGACTTGACAACGACTGTGCTTGCAGTCAAAGGTCGCGCCAGCTTCGTCTTGAAATATCTTTCCACATTTATGTTCAACGCGGCAGGAAATTTGTCGGGGTCTCCGAGGGTAAGAGGACCATCATAAGTCTTGTAAGGCTTCACTGCCTTGATTCGTGGGGTATCTAACTCGTCGATGGCCTCTGTAATGTTCGCAATAACTCCATCTTGACAGTCATTGACAAGCGATCTCAAGGCTTGCTCATTCTCTTTCTGTGAACTTTTAGCTATAGTTCTCACTGCGTCTCGTCATACTGACCTTTGTGCTCGGCTTATCCTCTTCCTTGAAGCCATATTCCGAGTCATCAAAGTCTACTCCCCTGTATCATGTTAAAAGAGTCGTTGAGATATCCATTTAACTTACAGGACAGTGAGCTGGATGTTGGAATCATTCATCTTCTTAGAAATGTCACCCAAGTCATCCGCATCCATTGGACCTTGGCCGTCCGTGACCAAGAAGATTTTTCTGTTCCACTTGAGCTTCTTTGTGAATGTATCAATCATATCAACAGCCAACACAATGGCTGAAACGGCATCTCCAGACCACGTATTGCTCGGCTTGACAAGTGATTGAAGATTCCTCAGAGACGACATTGTCATCGGTCCCAGCTCCTGCAATACCGCGATGTTCTCATACCCATCATCGTCTTGTAGCTTGTTGTCGGTCTCATCTGTCCTCAGGCCCAATACGCCAACGCATAGCGTTTTCCTGTTTGCTGCCACGATGTCTATGATTTTGTCCCATACGTATTGCATACTGTATTCTAGATCAGACTCTGATCTTCCACTGTGAATCTGGGCCATAGTCGACCCAAGGTCCAATATGAAAACGGTCGCTTCCTTCTCAGCCATGGTGGAGATGGTTTGTATGAAACCCGGTGATACAGAAAGAATGTCAGAGACGGAAGACGGGATCAAGAATTTGAAGTTAATCAAATCTCGCTATGATGAAAGGAATTCGAAAAGAGTGAGAGACAGTTTCATAAGGCCAGTCGCGCTTTTAAATGAATAGCAGCCAAAAGAAACGTCTCACAATGAACCCTTGTAATCGTTAGGCAGAACAGCCCCAAGATGTACTAAGGTTGGTGACCCATCGCGTCTGATGGGTCAAAGCTCCTGCCGACCTTCTCACGACAAGACGCGCGAGATCACGTGCAACGGGTGCCTGATAAAATACCGTTTATTGGATGAGTCTATTAAGCCACCAGAAATGTAAGAGAAGAGCAGGTACCGGGTAATTAAAAAGAAAATTCCAGTAGCTACATGCATATATAGGTATCTTGAATCATGAAGATCATTTCATCATAAGGACTGCAACGCAATATGGAGCTTGTAGGATCACGTGACTAGATGTGATATCATGACTATCGAAACACCTCAGTGCCTCGGCAAGTTGGATCTGATACAATTCATCAAACACTCACAAGTGAATAATTGCAATAATGGCAAGCACAGCAAAGGCAGTGGCCTTCTCACCGGCTCCTTACCATATCATCACGTAAGTTTCTTTGAGTTTGTGAAGTCAATCGCAGTAAGGAAAAGCATCGCTAACCCTACGGCAGCTATGGAACTTTACTTGGAACGACTTTCTTCCATGTGCGTATCTAATAAAGCTAGAAACATTGCAATTCTAACAGACGAGCAGACCTTCATCAATGGTATCGTAATGTTCAGGACGGTCGATCGTCCTAGCTTCTCTGCCATCCAGCAGAAGCTCTTCCCCATCTACTTCGGCCTCCAGACTGTCTTACCTGGTGTTCTAGCTTTAACATATCCCGGAAACACATTGATTGGTCTGTCAAATGGTCCTGCTGGTTTGGTGTCGGAGTTTGCCCGCTGGCACTCCCTGCTACCTATCAGTGTAATGGCCTTGACTGGTGCTGTCAATCTGCTTGTCTTCTTGCCTTTGACAGTCGAAGTTATGAAGCAGCGACGTGGCCAAGGTGCGTTAATCTTAATGGGGTCGATTTGAGACACTACTAATAATTTACAGTCAAGCGAGATGGCAAGGAGTGGTATGCTGAGGGACCTCAGAGTGATCAGATGAAGGCCCTGAACAAGAAGTTTGGCATGCTTCATGGTATCTCATCCTTGTTCAACCTCATCACTTTTGCAGCTGCTGTTGGTTACGGCTTTACTCTTGGTGGCCGTGTTTTGTCCGTTGCAGACCTCGCTTGAATATTGCACTATTCAAAAGTGAATTCATATTGAAACTCTAAATTGCTAGAAATGCAAATGCTCTTCTCCGTCTAATCTATGTATCCTGTATTCTCAATCGTACAATCCCGATCTCTAATGTCTATTCGTAGTGTCGTAAATCGTTGAACTCTTAGTATAGCCCTGAAAACAATGCGCCAGTTGGTCTTTCATAATGTGTAAACCGATACAGCTTTAAAGTCCTCCATGGGTGAAGTTTGGGGCAGGTGGCTTAGAACCTCCATGAAGAACGGAGTTCTTCCTTGGCTTTCTCAAAGTCTCGCATACGCTGAGCCTTGATCTCCTCCTCGTTGCGGGCATGTTGAGCTCGGCGCTGGTTGGCCTCGATTTGTCCCTTGGTGGTCCATCGGCCAGGTTGACGATCAAGCATGCTTTGGATGTCGAGTTCCTCTGTAGGCTTGGGGAACTCGCGGTTGAGGGCAGGAAGCTTGTGACCAGCTTGGTCGAACTCCTCGCTCTTGAATCCAGGGGTTGACACAGGAGTTGTCTCTGTGGATTGTGTCTTGTGAATGCTAAAGTAGCTGTTGGCGTTGCCAGAGGTAGGAGCTGCGGTTGTTGGCGCGGTGGGATTCATTTTGTAAGAAATTTGAGTGAGAGGTGAATGGGTTTGGGTCTCGAAGTGTTAATGATTTGTGTGTGATGCGTGTGTTCAGAAAATGTATGAGTGAGACAGTCTTTATATAGATTTTGAGGGGATAGTTATCCTGATAGCTGTGATATCGTGACGAGGTCTTGTGACTGGTTTCGGAGGGTACTTTGCGCTTGTTTGCTCAAAATAACAGCACAGAACGTACGAGATGATGAAAAGTTTTGAATCGAGAGTCAAGATAAAGGCAGCTCAACACGGTTTTTGTAGATATTTATGATTACGTAGGTATCCATCTGGGTCTGTTATCAATTCTTTCTCTTTCTGAACCAAGTGGAAACTCCTGTCGTCGATCAGAAATGGTGTGGGACCCTTAGAGTCTCCTAGCTTCAGGGTCCACGGGCGCCACTCTTTGATACGGAAGCAACCAGGCAGCAGAGCGGTGAATGGACGTTGTATTCCACGGATTCGGTTACGTTTGTCGGTCTGTAAGTCCAGCTGACGACTAAGGAGACTCTAATCTCGCCGCTTCGGAGCAAGCGAGTGCAGAAAAAAAATCACAAGGTAAGGTAAACCGAAGACGGATGTAGCCCGTTATCTCCAGGTCAGAAAAAAGTCTCCGTTAAAAAACGTGGAATTCTAGAAAATCCACCGATGACGATTAGGGTGGTCCATTACTCAGGGCGGAGTTGACGAGCCAATAATAGATCGGTTCTGGTCGTTGAAAGTCATTGAAGTGGTTGCTGGAAAGATTTCAATTTTGGAGATTCGGTCGCCACACGGAACGGGCTCGCGGCTCTTAGTAGCTTTGGACCAGTTAATCGGGTTTGGTATCTTCAGAAGTGAGGTCGGAGATGCAGATGATGCAGGGTTGTTATCTTTACATGAATAAGCCTCAATTTTGCATACCTAAAATGGTGCTTGGGTATCCTCAAAGAGCAAAGACTTGAGACGTTGAGAATATATTGATGTTCCTACTCATGTACACGGAAGAAGCACCCCAAGGTTGTAACAACTTACCCAAGTCTCTTGTTAATTAGTATTGACATTTTAGATTGTTTTACCTCCTCTAGCGATGTAGCAAGAAAATAAACAGTGAATCGGGGAGACTACAAAAATGATTGTATTTTCATGGCATACTACCCTATATCATTCATTCGACATGGATTCTCACAAGAAGGCTCCAGCGATTAAATAAATTGAGGAAATGGATACATCGTCATGATCGACCATGATAACCTTCTTTATTAGTAGACCCGCACGCTTTCCACGTCCAGAAGAATTACATCACAAGAAACTCCACGAGTAAGTGGGTATGACTAAGCAATTGGCCGAGTCAGTCAGACTGTTGATAATGATTGATGACCTATCTTGAATCAACCAACAGAACATATTGTCGATCATTTAATCATTGTCCTCACTTGTTCATTTCAGAGATAATATGACATCGTCACCAAAGTACATCAGCGGAGATGCTGCTGCTGTTAGCGAGTTCATCGACAAATTCGACGTGAGTCATTTACTCGTGTACCTCTCGAGCATCAACTGACACTGATGAATAGGTCTTCCTGCTGGATTGCGATGGTACATAACCATGATTTATAACTGAACAATAAACTGACGCATTCAGGTGTCCTATGGTCTGGCGATCATGTGTATGAAGGAGTCCCTGAGACCATCAAATATCTAAGATCAAAGGGTTCGCTTACTATCCTCACGATCTGAAAATGAGACTTACATCGACACAGGAAAGAGAACCGTTTTCGTGACGAACAACTCAACAAAGTCTCGTGATGAATACCTAAAGAAACTCACCAACCTTGGTATCCCTAGTGAGAAGGATGATGTGTTCGGTTCAAGCTACTCTGCTGCGATCTACATCTCACGCATCTTGAAGCTACCCGAGAACAAGCGCAAGGTCTTCATTATCGGAGAAGCTGGAATCGAGCACGAACTTGATTCTGAAGGTGTTCCTCATATCGGAGGCACAGATGAGGCGTTCCGACGAGACATTACAAATGACGATTTCAAGGGTATTGCTGATGGCTCACTACTTGACCCCGAGGTCGGAGTAGTTCTCTGCGGTCTTGATTACCACGTAAACTACCTAAAGTATGCCCATGCCATGCACTACATCAAGCGGGGAGCTATCTTCCTTGCCACCAACGTCGACTCAACCTTGCCGATGCACCACGATTTCTTCCTCGGAGCTGGATCTTGCCATATCCCTGTGGTTCACGCCACAGGAAAGCAGCCCTTGGCCCTCGGTAAGCCTAGTCAAGCTATGATGGACGCTGTTGAGGGCAAGTTCCAGCTCGATCGCTCTCGAACTTGTATGGTTGGTGACCGACTCAACACTGATATCAAGTTCGGTATCGAGGGACGACTGGGTGGAACCCTGCATGTCCTGACTGGTGTGAACAAGAAGGAAGACTGGGAGAAGGCCGATGCTATTGCTGTGCCCTCCCATTACGCTGACAAGTTCAGCGATCTTAGACTGGCAGAGAAGCAATAGACAGACGATAGACCATGATACAGATTATAGACAAACTATGCAACTGACTCCTCTATCTATACTGTGATGAAATTGGACATTGACTTATGCTGGCCAAAACCCAGCAGTCAGCGCTCTTGACTAAAGGGCAATAGGCAATGTATTTAGGCGCAAACTTAAGCTTGCTTCTTATTCTCCATCCTCTTAGCAATATCGCTAGTCCGAATGACCTTTGGCCCAGGAGTCTTGTAGGGGGTGAGGGACTTGGGCAAAAACATGCCAACCTGTTCCTGGTATGAGGGATACTCAGTATACTTGCCAGCTGTGATGAGCTCAGTGAGCCAAGTTGAACCCTGGAAGAGGAGGATCAAGGCAGCAGCGCCGGTGAAAGTGTAGCTGTACATGTTTTTGGTTGCGAAGCAACTCCACTGGTATAGCACAAACCAAATCATTTGCTCTGCAGCAAAGTTGGGATGTCTGCTGTAAGCCCAGAGACCAGAAGTGTTGAACCCACGGTCAAGCTCCGCTTGAGAGTACTTGAACTGCTTGGGAACCTTGGCCTCGGCCTGGTACTGATGCTTGGCCGCGTGATAGTCTATACAATGGTCAGGCTCATAAACATCAAAGCACACGAAATACTCACCCCACTGCTGACCATCGCTAACCCACTCGCTGTAGACGAGACCAACCATGATAAGAGCAAAGACAATATCGGCAGAGGTCACATCCTGCTCAAACTTGGTAGAACAGAGAATGGCATACGCAGGCACGCACGAGAAGCTGAAGAGCAGAACGCTCTGGTAGAAAGAAATGAAGGTGACGTTAAAGAGGAACCAGACAAATCGGGGCACATATTGCTGGAGAATGGCCCTGCATGATATGAGCTGACTGAAGATTTGTGAGTGGACGATCAACTTACCATCGATAATCTTCAGATCCTTTATTGTAACCCCCCTTACGCCAGTAATTATATGTCAAGCGGCACTGTTACACAGCATTAGCGGTGACTGAACGAATGAGATGTAAGGACACGTACACTCCAAAGGGTTGTAGCAGCAGCAATAAGGTCAACGCGTGAAGAAGGAATACCAGCGAGACGCGCCCAGACTGAGAGGTGGACGACGTATAAGTTTGGGAGAATCGACCACATTCGATCAACTTGAGAGTAGTTTCTGTTGATCTCGGAGACAACGAGGAAGACAAAGCCGAGAGCAATAGAAATGGCAAAGCCTGAGATGAGAGGATTTGTATCAACATAGATCTGCCTCAGCCCATCAGGACTGGCAATGTTGTCAAGAATCTGTCGAGGAAGAGCATAGAGCTCTGGAATGTAAGGTTGGACTGTTTTGGCATACTCGCCGCAGTCCTCAATGGACTTGACGAATGGGAGAGACATGATGCTTGCTTGATCTTGATGAGACGAGGGTTTATCTCAGATTTGGAAACTTCGATATGAATGCAGCACAGCTGGTTTAATACTTACTTATAGCGATGCACAGCTTCAATAGCGTCATAGATGTCAATTCCAGGTGGAAACCAGGGCACTCTAGACCAGAGCATGGAAGGACACCGCCCCTCTGTTGCCTGGCTCCCGCCTTGTGTGTGGGACCACTAAGCTTCTAGGTGACACTCCCCTAGATTAAACGGATTCAGCCGCTGTGGCTAGTGGTTATCCGCCTGTAAGCCACTGAAGAGGCTTAATCCCGGAGAACTTAATTTTCAACGTCAAACCTTGGTCCTACCTCAAGTTTCCCTCCTCGCCGTGAATATCAGAAATGAGCTTCAGAGCGTTGGCGTAAATATTGAGGCTACAGGTGCTTCAGCAAACAGTTTATCATGGTAACTGGCAAACAATTCCAATAGCTGCTGAAATCTTATTGTTGAGAGATTATGGCAGCAAACTATTTCTGCTGCAAACGCGCCTAGTTGACCGTGTTTGTTATGCACATCGATCGTGCTTGCCTCAACGCAAAACTTCGTCTGCACTCCCGGGCAGCCTGAGGCAACTCTCCACTCGCTTTTTGTACCTTAATCACCACGGCTGATGGGAAAATCGCACCAGAGATATAAAACAGTTACAAAGACTTGTGTTCCTCCAAGATGAGAGTCCTTTGTGTGGCTGAGAAGCCCTCTATATCCAAAGCTGTGGCTACACATCTCTCTGGAGGTCGTATTGAAACGGTAGAAACCATCCAACGCACAACAACAATAACCCCTCGCTAACGAAATCATAGAACAATACAAGAAACAAATACATCAAGAACTACTCGTTCGATTTCGACTTTGGTCGTCAACTGGGCAATTGCTCCGTTACCATGACATGTGTCACTGGACACTTAACCAACGTCGACTTTACTCCAGCTCACAAAAACTGGTATCAGCCACCTCCAGAGTCATTGTTCACCGCCCCTATTGTCACGACCATCAGCGAAGTAAGAGTTCCTATCCTGATCCGGAAGCAAACAGTATTGACCTTTCAAAGGACAAGAAGACAATTGCCCAGAATTTAGAATCCCAAGCAAGATATGCCCAAGCTCTAGTAATCTGGACAGATTGTGATCGTGAAGGAGAACACATTGGTAATGAAATCGTGGAAGCCGCACAAAAGGGTAAACCTGGTATCCAGGTTTTACGAGCAAGGTTCAGCAATGTCGAGCGAGCGTACGTCGCCGTGTCCTCTTATTCTATGGGGTACCTACTAACAATAACAGTCATGTTATCTCAGCAGCCAAGAACCTTGCGACTTTGGATGAGAGGCAGGTCCATGCTGTATCTGCAAGAATCGAGCTGGATCTTCGTATTGGATATGCATTCACCCGTTTTCTCACAAACAACTTACGGCCTCTTGGGGGACCTATGGAGAAGCTGACTCTGAGTTATGGTTTGTACCCTGGCCACCGCCCTCTTGACATCTTGCTGATTTTTCAGGGTCATGCCAGTTCCCGACCCTTGGGTTTGTCGTGGATCGTTACTTTCGTGTGAAAAACTTCGTTCCTGAGCCGTTCTGGAGCATAAAACTGATGCACACCCGAGACGGTAAAAAAGTCGATTTCTTCTGGCTAAGGAACAGGCTATTCGATCGCATGTCCACAGTGATTCTTTATGAGAGATGCCTTGCAGCCAAAACAGCAACAGTGACCAAAGTTCAGCAGAAACCAACTCGAAAGTTCAAACCATTGCCTCTGACAACCGTTGAACTACAAAAGGCTGCGACGAGGTTACTCCAGATGAGCGGACAGCAGGCCATGACCATTGCTGAAGGTCTATATAACAAAGGGTTCATCAGTTACCCCCGAACGGAAACAGACCGGTTCGATAAAGGGATGAATCTCCGTGCTCTGGTTGAGAAGCAAACCAGCGATCAGAGATGGGGCCCATTTGCACAGAATCTTGCCAGTGGTGCTTTCAAACAACCAAGAGAGGGACGACATGACGACAAAGCACATCCTCCTATCCACCCTATCACATATGCCTCGCCTTCAGTCTTAAGTCGCGACGAGGCTCGTTTATATGAGTATGTTGCGCGCAGATTTCTTGCTTGCTGCTCAGATGATGCCCACGGTATGGCGACTGATGTTGAGCTCGAATTTGGAGAGGAGCGTTTTAATGCTCATGGAGTCATTGTGCTAGAGAGAAACTACCTCGACGTGTTCATTTACGAAAAATGGAATAATACAGTGGAACTTCCGAAGTTCACAGAAGGTGAGCGCTTTCAGCCAACGGAGGCTATGATGACAGAAGGGAAGACTACAGCGCCTGGTTACCTGACGGAAGCCGATTTGATCGCTCTCATGGATGCCAATGGGATCGGCACAGATGCTACCATGGCCGAGCATATCCAGAAGATACAGGACAGGGAATACGTCGCTACGATCAGCCGATCAGGTCAAACATCGGCAGATGATGAGGATGCGGACACAAGTACGTCCACAAGAGGTCGTGGACGTGGACGTGGCGGTCGAGGTGCCAGAGGTGGACGCGGTGGTTCATCATCATCTGGTGGCCGAGGCGGCTTGAAAGTCTTTGTCCCCACACAGCTCGGAGTGGCTCTAATCCTAGGCTTTGATCGAATGAACTTCGAAACCAGCCTTGGTAAACCATTCCTCCGGAAGGAGATGGAAATAAAGATGAAAGCTATCTGCGAAGGTCGTACGAACAAGGAAGTCGTCTTACGGGAAAGCCTCGCTCAGTACAAGCAAGTTTTCGAGCAATCCCAACAGAAACTAGGAGTCCTACGAACGGTATGTCCCATATGCTACACAAACTCGGCCCATCGTGTCACTGACCTGATCAATTAGGCATGCCGCGAGTTTGTCTTTGGTTCATGAGATTCGGGCTTTCGGTATTCAGGGCATGTAAACCCTTAGTTGATGCCACACTCACAATTTAGAACTCGGGCAATCTTCGAAGATATCTGGGGTTGAGCTGCCAACCTTGGAAGTTGACGACATTACGAGCCTACCTGCACCCCCATTGTCTCGTTTGTGGGTCGCTAGACTTGTGAAGTTGTGATATTCAAATCCGACTTGGGAGCCTATCAGCAGGTGGATCATGCACACGTACGATCTGAATGATGTGATTTGGGTATCGTCAACGATGGCCTCGAAACATGGCGGCGGCATATATATCAAACCACCCCTCAGTTGAGATGTACTTGGCGGCGGCGGGGTTGGCTCAGCTGCAGCTGTAACCATGTCCGAAAGAGTCACAGTGGTGTAAGTGTGGCAGTGACGAGTCTGCTGAACTCGGTAATAGACAGGCGAGACAGGGAAGCTTTGTGCGTCAACCACCTGGTTGGGAACGAATGGACGAGGTCACTCAATGTGGAGGTCTTCGGAGCGGGATAGAACGGGATCGCCAACGGCACAGGAGCCACCGGCCCCCGCACGACGCGATATCGTAGCCTCGGGCTTCAAGAGCGCGGGGCAACGGGATTGATGGATTGAGTCCGCATCCCTTCCGTTCTTCCCTATCGATGCGCAGGGAAGAGGCTTTTTTATGAGGTGCCCACGGCGCAGCGTTGTCCAACGTGGGGTTTTATCAATGGATGATGGGTCACACTGGCGCCCAAGGATGATTTTCCTTGGTTTGAAACAAGAGGGGGGAGGCTTTTGTCGCCATGATCCATCGGCTGGTCGGTGCCTCCACTATCTAAAGCAGACTCGCTGTTGGACGACGATACCGGCATCTAGAAAGGTGACGAACTTGAGTCGGTAATACTGACGGCATCGTGAGTCCAATCACAGAAAAGGACCTCGGCAACGTGACAGTAACACATCAAGGATGGCTTCCTTAGATGATGTGTTAGTACTGGAATTCCAGTACATCTGACACAACAAATTGCCTTGATTTGCAAATGGAGAAAGTACGCGAATGCATCTATGTACGAACTTGGACACAGCCATCGACATCAATACGAAGGCTCCGAGAATATGATTACGTGGGATTGGCCAAGGAATAACTTGCGAATGCAGGCATAGTGGGTGGGATACTGGTATGGCTTTCAAGTGAATACATGAGTACTTCGGTCAAGCCGGTAAACTCGATGGCAGTGTCGTGTCTTTGGAATTGATGATTAGGGTTGGTTATTCATCACAAATAACGCCAGCACCAGGCGCCCGCGCGGTCACAAGGGAGACGAGTCTTGATATGAAGCGATTGCACAAATGGCCAAGCCAAAGAGAGGACCGTATGAGCAATATCTCAAAAACAGTACCACGGGAACAGTCGCAGGTGTGCCCACGCCTGGGATACAGTTTTAGAAACACACCCCCATCGCGATACACACGGGATGCCACAGCTGGAACACGGGTGGCTTTGGGTTCGCCGGGAGCGTGCCTCTCTCATGCGTCTAGCCCTACACACTTACGAACAAAGAGTTTGGATCACGCAGGTACGTGTCAAATTAGGCACACAACAATCAATACATATTCCAGAAATTCAAGTTTGATGCCCTGTCTCAGTCCTCCTTTTCAAGCACCAAGGGCTCACTAACAATAGCCGGACGAAATTAGGGCATGATGATGGAAATTTGGTCCGTTGCTGGTGCTTGTCATGACTTGATGTTCCCAGTAAAGGAGGACCCCTTACCCCTGTCGATGAATGCTAACAGAGCCCGCTGATTCCGTGAGAGGACCAAAGAAACTCATATAGAGAGTGAGTTGGACACAAAGACTTACATGCCTTTGTTGCAGAATTATACTAAAGGGTGCCTGCATTATTCTCGCATGGGCCGGATGGATGCAGGTATGTATTTTCTACGATCAGCATTGCTTCCATGGGTGTCCCTGCGATGCATTTCATGACGACCACGTTTCCACAAGCAAGAATAGAAAGCCATGACGCCGATGACCTTCCCCTTGTGTTGAGTCACCATTTCGATGAATCAGCCGCACAAGCAAGTCGATCCAGCCAAGTCGCGTCGACGGCGATGGAGGAATGGAATGTTGGCGACTATAATCTGGTGGCTGATGTTGAATCGCGAACAGCCACAACCTTGGACGAGTGACTAACATCGATAAACTCCAACAACCTTACCCCAATCTCCTGGGCCCCGTGGCCTAAGGTGTTGGCCAAAAGGGAGCACTGTGGTATTATCTCTTACACGCTAAGACTGACACCGGCTCAGTAATAGAGCTGCGACTAATTAATGAATCCCCAGACTCTGCAAAAATTGGAGACAGTAGCATAACTTGACATGGCAGATACCTGCCAAGAGAGAAGCGAGGCCCATCCTGCCGAGAAACCAGAGCCAGCCGTCGCAAACACGGTGTTAATTGCTGGGCCCTGCTTCAAGCTGGAAAAGCAGTATGACGATCGATGCCGATGCCGCTTAGTTAGTTAGACGCGCAGCCTCAGGAATCTGAGAAGAGATGTCAAATGCCCGACTCCCTCCGTCTCAAGTCTCCAGTAACCTTTCAACATGCCGCACATGATGATATATAATGGTGGAGTGAATTTATGCCCTCGTCTCCGTGCGCCGTAAAGCCCCGAGGTCCGGAACTAGAGCAAAGCACCGGAGCCGGGCCCGTCCAAAGTGTGACTGTATTATTTGTCGCTCCCTGTTGCTTTTCTTTCATGATGAGAATTGATCTGTGTCATCCGGAAGCTGAGCCGACATTTGATGTTGTGCCATCCATGGTGGCCATGCCCTACTAAACATCCTTACAGAACCCACGAGACTGGAAAAGGGAAGCGAAAAAAGCGCGAGCCATATCGTGGGCTCTGCGCTGAACCAAGCTGGAGTTCACTAGGGCATGAAACGGGCAATTTATTTCGTTTGGCCAGGCCGGATCGCTTCCCCGTTTGCGCTGTGGCCCGGATCCTCTCGTTTCCCTAGACTACCAGATGCTTGGGAATTAGAAGCAAATGAAAAACAGAAAAAAACAATTTCACATGGACCAGCAGAAAGAAAGGAGAGTGCCACTTTTGGCAGGGAATGAAGAAAAGAAGCGTGGTAGTTAGAATCAGAGAGAAAGGGGAAAGTTTGTTGGGTTCCAGGCTTCTTCTATGGCTTTGGGTTGCATGTCTCAACCATCAGCCAGCCTCCAAGTGCAAAGTGCAAGATTGCTAGCAAATGTATGGACGATTAATTGTGATTGTGAGTGCCTATCTGAAGGCGCCTTATCCTCCCAATCAACCTTATCATCCAACGCCGAAGGGACACGCCCCCTAAAAATAAAGGCACCTCCAAACAAGTTAGGTTGGCCAAACATGGGGGTGCAGACGAATGGATTCTAGGTTTTAACCCGTTTGGGGGCTGTGGCCTGCGATTGCGTTGTGATTTGTCGGTTTAGGGTGGTGTGCTTCTAGCACGTACAGTGCCACAAAAATGGCACCCACCAACCCGACCCCGAATGCTTAGGTTGTTTTGAGGTGAGAATTGCCTTCCAACAGTCAGAGACAGGGCACATTGACCTCGCGATAGGTGCTGAATGCACCAAACCTGGTGTATGTAAGTGCATGCCCAAGTACGTACCGGCCTCACACTCGCTGGGCAGGGCACACACGGTTGCTCATGCTCAGTCACAGTCAGTCAGTCAGAGTCACACACTCATATACATAACCTACTTATCTCCCTCCCCTTCCCTGGATGTTCCTTTCATCAAACACAATAACACTACCAAAAGAACCACAAGATTCGTACAAGAGTCTCTTGTCACAGTCCAGATTATCGCGCCAGCTCTGCCCTACTTAGCCATATACCAGCCATTCAGCAACATCGTCTTGCAAGCTCTCCTTACACCAGGCTTCTGAATAGGTACGTACCTTGCTTGTTCACCTTAGCCTGACGCAGTGCACCGACCGACCGCGGTGACTCGAGGCTCCATTTCTCATGACCGCAACTCTTTACCGCTCCCACAGGGCAGCAGTACCTCGTTCTCTTCACAGAGATCGCGTCGCAAATTTTATCTCCTTCTCAAGATCAAAATCGCTGACCAAAGTTTCCCATTTTCAGACTTGCTCGTTCGGAAGCGCATACAATCAAGACCGAAACTCGGTAAACATGGCTACCATGGCAGCGGCTGCTCGTGATATCTCCCAGGCCTCCTTGAGCCGAGACAACTTAACTGCTGTAGCGGCTCGGAGTGTCCCTGCGACTGTGACACGATCTCAACAACCCCTTCCTACTCCCCCCAACTCCATTTCTCCCAACCTGCCGCCTCATGGCCTCAAGGCGCAGCTCCAGAAGGCCAAGCTTGAGCCTATTGACTCAGACCTGGACCTTCACGAGCCGTCGGATCGACGACGTTCGATCTCGCCTGGTCTCGAGGCTTCGGGTGCCATCACTGGCTCTCTCCTCGCCAAATACCACCTGCCAGAGATCCTGCTCAACCATGGTCCCCTGGCTATCAGACACATCATGGGGTACCTAACCACTTCGGTACCCGGGTTTTCTGGAATCCCCCCAACAAAGGCGCGGAGACTAGTCGTGGGAGCTTTGGAGGGACGAGGAGGAGAAGGAGGCGGACTGGATGGAGAGGTGGAATTTGAAAAGGTGGGATGGGGCCGATGGGATGCTCGTAAGCGAGGACAGCCTTCTCGAAATCGACAAGGAACTCCTCCTTCATCCTACGGCGCGGGCATCCCCATCGGCAACATCGGCGGTAGGGTTCAGGACCGGCCCAGACTTAGCATTGCGTCAAGCAACGGGGATTCGGTGCAGTATTCTCATGATGATAACGACATTTACATGATGGAGCATGAGGCCGACAAAATGTCCATGGATGGATCTGGATCCGCTTCGTGCTCCGAGGCTCCGGATGATGATGTCGTTATGAACGATGATCCTGAGGATGCGACGGACGACGAGGATTGGGCTACCATGGGGGCTGCTGCTCTTCGAGCCGAGTCTTACCCTAACCAGGCGGCAGCTCAGACGGACCATGGTTTCCGATCCTCTTCTGCATATGCACCAGGTGGACTTCGTTCGTTCTCTGCCAGCTCCGGCATGGCTCGTCCACCTCAAACACTCAACATCGACTTCTCGGCGTTGGCGGGCACCTCTGACGCACAGGAGCGGGAGGCCGTCGAGGCCCTCCTCCAGCTCGGTTCTGTATAATACCTCTCTGCATGCACGGCGTTTTTTGGGCTTTCGGGATTTCTGAAGGCGATCGATTCGGGGCAGGGGCTTGGTTGGCTTAAGGAGAGGCCGTGTCGGCCCACACCAATGACCGAGGCGGCGACCTCTGGATCGTTATTATTATCACGATGACACGGTTCTCTTAACGGTTTTCTTCGGGCTATTCGTTTTCTTAATATGGGCTCGGTTTATGGCGTCTTGGTACTCGGTGGCATCTGTCAACACGACAGGTGAATCATCGTCGGCTGTGGAAGGTCAGCATACGGGCAATATTCCAATGATTGGGTGTCTCCCGAAACTTTTCGGTGCCCAGAGATGGAATATTCTAATACCCGGGTCTTATTTCTTATTATTGAGGGGACACAAGTTGTTGGGGCGTTCGCTTCCGTCACTTGATATTCCTGTCGCTCCATGGGGGCTGTTCCATTCTAGCCCCAAGGCGCATACTTATGCCGGGAGCTTTGGCTTCTGAGCGACACGACAACACCCTTGACGGGCAGGGCTGGTCTCCGATGTTGAGTCGTCTCCTTGGGGTATTTGTTTTACAATACCCGGTCACCCAAGTTTGGCTTTGCATCATTACCAGATCCTACCACTTCAACATCATGTGGAGGATTATGACGACGATTATTTTATACCATTTGTGGGCAGTTGCGGCCAGTTGCGGCCAGTTTTTTGGTCCTCGTTTTGCAACTTTCTCGAATCTTTGTTTAATCAACTTTTATGGGCATTTGATGTGGGGAACGCATCATCATCAACAACAGATAGAGGAGGAAAAGGGACAGAAAGGGGCATCATGAATGAACCCTTAACACAACATATAGGGATATGGTATCATGGCTGGAACCAGTTGGGCTCGAACGCTACACGCTCGCCCTCGCGTCTTTTGTTTGCCGAGGGCACAAAGACTGAAAAAAGGAGTAAAATCATATTGGAGCGATGGATTAGATAGCTTCCTGATCGTTAGTATCCGAAGCCCCTTGAGCTTACCAATGGAAGTTTCTGATCTTTCTTTCCACAAGGAGTGTCTGTAACATCGCACATGTGAATGTTGATGTTGACGTGAAGATGAGGGGGTTGGTCGGTCAAGGCCAATGGGGAGAATATGGCGTCAATCTCGAAATTGGTTGGGAATTGTATTGTGGTGTTGAGACAAATTGAAGAAACAAAGCATGCGATAATACCCTCATAGGATGGCGAGATCAGAGTTTATAGATAAGAAACTCGTGTTCAGCCAGTGTGTTTATCAATCATGTTCCATACTGGAAAGGTTGAAGGAAACTATAATGAAAGAGTTTTGCGGCGGAGAGAAGTGAAGTCATTCGATCGATGGAGACAGCGATAATCTGCAGTCACGTGAATGGTCATGTTTTTGAGTAATCGTCCTTTCGTGTGTGTGGTGTGCTGGTTCACCATGAAGCAGCAGGATGGGACAAGTCTTATCTATGTTTTCAACCCTTTTCTCTTGCTAAGCTGCTATGACTGAGCAAGATGAAGTGTGAGCATGATGGGTTGCAACTCGTGTAAGTGGTGTTTACTCCCGATCAGTGATGGATGGGCTTGTGGAGTACAACACAGGTTTTTAATTCTCAAAGCACAATGACAATAGAGTCAACTATTGCTCAAGCCTACCAGGCATACACCAGGATAAGAAACAAACCGAGAGTCTATGTCGATGCCATGAATAACGACGCAGACAGGGCAGGGGTTTGATACAATCGACATTGTTGTTGCCTACCCTAAACAATTTCATCATCTGCAGCACGATTAAACACTTCTATCTGGAGGCCTCTTGCATTCGTTGCTATATGGTATGCACTTACTCTATGCATATACATCAAACTGAAATATTATGAGCCAATATGATACATGAATTTGGTGGGGTTGATATCAGCCTATTGCACTGAACACCAAGACAGCTCACCAGCCGGACTCTTTCCCTCAATCTCAAAGCAGTATCGTCACGCCAAGGAAACAACAAGCGTTGATAGCCGGTAATAGCAAAATATAGTAGACGATCATCTTGGTTTATCCTGCCGCTGGCATCTTGGCTTTGACATGCGATGAGGTGATTATCAAAGCACTTCTGATCTTGGCTACAAAGCTTGAGCAGGCTTATGTTCACAAGACAAGAACGAGAAGACCTCGGACATTTCTTGGCCTGCACTGCCACCGTTTGTCGTCATCACCAAGACCTTGGCATCAAAAGGAGTGGGATGCTCGAGTTCTGGGCATTCTCTGGGCATTCTCTGGGCACTCTCTGGGCGCCCCCTTGGCTTTTGCTTGGCCTGATAGTGGTGCTTGGTCTGGGGTAATAGTTCGAGGATAGGGAACTGTTCCTACAAAGGATGGAGGAGAATATACAGTACATACAATCTCCAGTGCGGGATTTGTTGAGTGATTCTTGATGTAATCTTGATACTCGGTGGAGAGGCTAAGAGGACCGTGTAAGAGCGCTTGGAAGATTGAACGATATTGACTTGACTGGACGACGATGGACCAAGGGCAAAACCTGCAGGTCTACTCCGTACGAGGCTGCATCATATTTCTCTGGGCATTTCACAGACGTATCTTCATCTCCGATTCCCATTGCGGCAACGATGGGTTTAGATCCTCGGCGTTCTTATTTTCCTGGGCGAGCTTGGAGGAACAGGTTATTTCAACGGCAAATAATGGAGATGCTACTGAGCGTTATCAACCCCGTTGTTTACTATGTTACTATACTGTGCTGCAACTGGACAAATTAAGAGATCTCGGATGTTTTGAGACGTGATATCTTGTTTAAAGATGCATGTCAATATGGAGAATGAATATGGGGGAGCATTGGCTATGCGACCCGACCCGCAAACCGGTCAGATGCCCAGGTAAAAAACATGATAATAATAACACGTTGTTCTGTTTTTTTTTTGAATCGGAGCTGATTTCGAACAGTCTTACGCAGTACTACAGTAGCTACAGTAGGTAACTTATTGGCCACAACACACATACACACACATGCAGAGAACATTCCCTCCTTATTCTTAACCGAAGCATCACACTGTACATTCATACATCAAATTTTAGTGCGATCGAATTAATCTGAGCCTAGATAGGCAGGCAGTAAACGGCAGTGAAAAGAAGCATAATCACATTCTAACCTACTCTGTACGGAGTAGTATGTAGTGAGTGAACAAGGGGAAAACGTGTGCTTGGCTCAACATTTCTTGGCGTACCTACATGCATGAAAAGAGGAGAAGGCGAACGACCAAGAGTACTTGTCTTGGCAAGGAGATGCCAAGAGGGTCTTGGCAGTCTGGGGCCAAGCTTGATAAGAAATGGAGAATATTGTCTTGGCTAAATGTCTCGGCGAAGAAAATAAGGACAACTAGACGCTGGACTTGGTGCTTGGGCAGAGCAGAGCAGATGGGCGGAAAGCTTGGTTGTGTGGGAGTCTGGCTTGGCTGATGACATGAGGTTACCTAGGGGAGAGAGAAGGGTTCACTGAGTCAGGTCAGTTGTTGATCGAGTTATGTGTTTGCTAGAGTCTGGTATGTTTTGAACGCCTCTTTCTCTATTGTCAGGAGTTATCATGTATTATCAATGTTGCGTGCTTTGCCTCGTGCTCTTGACTCATCTATCGGAAGAGGTCAATTCCACACTATCCGATACCACAACCTGCCCTGCCCTGCCCTGGGAATAACAGAGCCTGAACGAGCCTACTAACTACACTTCCGGCAGATTTTGTCAAATTTAGTTGATATTAACGTTAGACTACGGGGGATAACAGTTCCCCGATAGACCCGGAACTCTCCATTTATAATTTTTACTGAGCTTACGAACTCAATCAATCAACTGCTTGTCCCCTGCTTAACTCCGCATGCAGCGTATTCCGTGCACACTCGTGCAACCCCAGCATTTCCAATTCTCGTACAACATTTGTCTCTTCTCGTTCGGATTTGGCCCCCGCCGAAGAGACTCCCTGGGTGAGGTGAAAGGTGAGTGAGAGTGAAAGGGTGTCAGGTCAGGGCCGAAATCCCAATGGCTCAGGTGACGGAACGACAAAACGCTTGACGCAGTAGGTGGCCAGCTTTGTGTGAGGCCAATATGGACAAGACCAATAGAACGACGCACATGAGGGGCTGTGCCCAGAATGCCAAGAGCGCCAAGACTTGGCATTCCCAATCTGCCATCAAACTAGCTGTAGCTCGTGCCAAGAGCTACTCTCCACCACCACCAGATCGGTATGGCCGACCGCGTACCCGTCAGTTGTCAGTACCTCTGGCTCTTGCCAAGACTTCTGCCAAGACTCGCCAAGACTCGCCAAGAATCCCGCCGTCTTCATTCTCTTGCCCAAGAGTTTTGGGTGAATGTAAAGGGAGCTCACTCCCCCCGTCACTCATTTATCAAGAACGAACTCTCTTTTGAACATCTCATTCATCTGTAATCATCCGTCTTTATCAATCAATCTTCAACTTGTTTCCTTTCGACAAGTTTTGATTGAGAGACACCCATCGTACCCTTGTTGAACTAAAGCAAGACCCTCTACACTCTGACTTAGTCTCAGTCAGTCAGTCAGTCAGTTATACAGCATCGCCACTCAGCGGGCTTGATCAGATATCTATCTATCCCATTATTGCAACCATTTCTCTTCTATTCCCGTCATGTCTCCTTCGGCTCCAGAGCAGAAGCCTCAGCTTCAACAACAACAGCAGCAGGGCTCATCATCAGGAGATTCATCCTCTGGCAGTGCCAATGACTCAAAGTCTGTGACGCCTGCGCCTAGCGCCACATCTAATACATCCCAGAGCAGCACTGCTCCCTCAACATCAAGCGACGATAACCTTATCTGCCGATGGAATGCTTGCAACCAAAAGTTCCCTGCTCCTGAGGCTCTCTACGTAAGATACTAAAACATCACCCACGAGCATCAAAAATTGACCTCTTACAGGAGCATATTTGTGAGCGCCATGTTGGTCGCAAGAGCACAAACAACCTCAACT